CCCCGCGCGCGAGAGAGAGACGCTCCTGACGCCCCTATTCGCTCCCACTCCCATCCCTGAATGCAGTGCAATGACCTGATTGCCAGTCGGATTCGCACGAAGCTCGAGCAGATCGACCTGGAGCAGCGTCATTTGTCGCAGTTCCTTTCCGGTCGGTCGAGCGCCGGATTGACTCCCCATGGCGGCGGGAGGCTGGATCAGCTGTTTAGTTCCAGCCCCGACGCCCTGAGTACCCAATCCACCCTGGCCCAGGACGTCATCGATGAGGTGTGCTCGTGTGCCCTCTGGCTCGCCTTCCGGGGATTGCCCCCGCGTCATGCGGCCGCGTTTCTAACGACCAGCCCCTTCCTGTCCACCTCACCACACTCCCCCTCTTCCTCCCTTCTCGTCGTAGCTCAAAGCCGAAGAGGAGCGTCTCTTGCAGGAGGCGGCCGCTCTCGAAAGGGAGGCCCTCGAGCTCCAGAAAATCTCCGACGACTTGGACATTGAGGCGGATCTCATTGATCGACAGGAAAATATGTACGCCACATTTCCTGTTCTGCCGGCACAGGAACGCCACAGCTCCCTTGCCACAACTCCTTTGCCACAACTCCCTTGCCACAACTCCTTTGCCACAACTCCTTTGCCACCGGCCCTTTGCCACAGCTCCCTTGCCGCAGTCCGTTTGTTGCACTCCCCCCCCCCCCTCCAGAGCGCCGATTTTCACCACCACCCTCCCATCAACCAGCCTGCAGTTCCATCTGAACCGTCTTCAACAGGACTCGGAGGAGTTCAATGATGAGAGTGACGCCATTGCCTCCCTCTATGCACACTATTCCATGCAGCTGGTGCGGATGTCCCCTTCGGCTTCCTCACTTGCCCCCTTCCTTTTGTCATGGCCTTTGTCCGGATCACTGATCTATTTTTTTCTTTCCCCCGGAACCAGGAGCGCCTCAGTGCCTGTAGCGTGATCCAGGATGCCTTCCACATTTCGGTAGATGGCCCGGATGTGGCGTCCATTAATGGCCACCGCCTGGGGCTTTTCGAGAAGCTTTCCGAGCGCAATCGCGACGAGATCAACCACGCCCTGGGGCATGCGTGCTTGCTGCTGCATATCCTTGGCCAGCACTTCCCTTTCACCTTCTCGCGGTATGCTTTGTCGCCTGCCGGTTTCGCTCCCCCTTCCCTTCGGGGCCGGTTCCTGACATCCGTCCACCCATTCGCTCAGGTACAAGCTTTGCCCCTTCGGCAGCCGATCCTTCCTGGAGGTCAGCCTCGGAAGCGATGCCGGAGGCGACTCCGGGGGCCGGCGGCCGGCTGCCAGTGAAGATGGTCGCAAGCTCGACCTCTTCTACCCGGCCTCCTTTGCGGACAAGATGAAGTTCCGAAGCTCCTTCAATGAGGCCCTGGCGGCCTTCCTGGACTGCCTGGATCAGCTGGCAACCGAGATCAACCGGCAAATTTCCTCGGGCGTTGGGCTGCCCCGATCTGGCTCGTCCGGCACCGGGATTGCCGCGGCGGCAGCAGGTGGCGCCCCCGGGTCCCCGGAGCGCTCCCAGGCATCACCCCCACCAGGGACATTCACCTGCCTGCCTCATCATTTCGTGTGCGTTCGCCTTTCTATCCCGCCTCCCCCCCCATGCGAATATCTTTTCATCTTCGTATTTTCACCTCTGCACACACTCACACCCATATGTCCACACTGATGCCCTCGCGCATGGATCCCCCTCCGCCTCCCATGCTGTGAACACCAGCATCGAGAAGGGTCACATCGACGGGCGGCCAATCGTCTTCCCGAATGCCATCACTTCCTTCGAGAAGCTGTCATCCACCTTCCTGCCTTCTTCATCATCCAGTGCCTCGGGTTCGGCCAGTTCCGGGTCCCTGGCCGGCAGTAGTTCCGGTCGGCGAAGCAACATCAGCAACGAAGAGCACGAATGGAACTTGGCGCTCAAGAGCATGCTGAGCATGCTCAAGTGGGCGCAGCTGTATGTCGATCACACGCGGAGCCGTTCTCTGTCAACCTCCGCCCCGTCCAATGTTCGGCATGGCGGAGGGGCGTGAGCACAGCATGCTAAAGATACATACCCCCTGCTTTGCCCTGCTTTCCTCTGTTACGCGTGCCCCTCTTGTTGTTGGACAAGGGGGCGGGGGGGGGGGGGGGGAGAGGCGCAAGCAGCAACGAAGAACGAAAAAAAACCGAGCCAAGGGGGCAGGGGCGGGAGCGGTCGGGGGGGGGGGGGGGATGATAGTCCGGGCGCCCGCGTCTGGGAGAGCCTTCTCCGAGAAAGATCACGCGAACCACCGGGCCCGGCAGCCGGCACACAATTCTGGTACTACAATATCAGATAATGGGAAATCGCTCGTGTTCAATGTGGGGCTCAGGCGGCCCTCCGGTATTTTCGCGTTGCCTTCTTCGGAAAATGTGCACCCCGACCCGCCCCGATTGCCTGGTGGCTGGGCTGGCTCCCCCCCCTCCGAGGGAGGTCTGTGCGCGTGTGCCTCCCCCCCCCGCCCCCTGCTCCCGCGCGCGCGGCTGAGAAGGATGATTTTCTCGCGCGGGGAAGGGGCCGTTAGGAAAGGGGGCACATATTTTCACACAAACGGGAAAAGGTGGGAAAGAATATGTTGGAGGGATTCACACGGGGGTCGGGGACAGGCATGGACCAAGCCGAAGCCCGAGGCCTGGGGCTTTCTTTTGGGGCGCCGGTGTGTCCTTGCGCGGAGGGCGGCTCAACGAGCGGGGAAGAGGTCTCTTGGCGGGGATGTGCCTCGCTTGCGAGATGGCACATCTTCCCCCTCCGACGAGCACTCAACGCGGGGGGGGGGGGGGGGGGGGAACAATCATCGAGGGGAGCTCGGCATTTTCCTTCCTCCCCCCTCGCCCCTGTTGCCTGGGTGCTCTATCCTGCGAGCTGACTTGCGGAGGCCAGCTCCGGGACAGAAGGAGGTACCATGCAGGCGCAGTGCGCGGCCGCGCGCTCTTTCTCCCTCCTCAACATCGGGTGCAAATGTGCGCTGCACCTTTCCATGATGCACCCGCGTGTGGCGGACGCCTAGTCATGGCTATTCAGCCGGTCTTCGCAGGGCGATGGTCATGACTACTCCCCGTATGGGGGCCGATGACTTGGAGGCTGGACAGGCGAGATCACTGGGGGTGGTTGGGGTACTGCAACGCACGCGAGCGACCCCGACGGGCCAGGACTTCCCCGCTGGGGGCAGGGCGGAGTGCGCAATTTTCCGCCGCTCGTCAGGGCTTTGATCGTCCCCCCCCCC